AAAGTCCAAGTCCAAAGTCTCATCTTAGACTCACAGGCAAACTATGAACCTCTGTAAAGATCAAAAGCAAGTTACACATACCCAGCACATAGTGGCACAAAGTAAACATTTCCACTCCACAATGGAAGAACAGAAGCACAGAAAGAAGGGAGGGGACCAAAACAAAATCAAAACCCATCTGGTCAAATAAGTCCTATAGCTCCAGGTCTGGCATCTGGGGTATGTGGTGGCAAGATGGGTGTTCTAAAGGGCTTGGGAAGCCCTGCCCCTAAATGCTGGCTGCATCCCACATAGCATGTCTTGGCCTGGCTCTGCTAGGCCAACCTATTGGCAGATGGTCCACATTACTGGCATCTTTTAATTGCAGGGGTCTCCATTCCAGGTTCAGCTTGACCTTTCACATCTTCTTACATCATCTTCTCAGGGGCTGCCTAGAGGGATTCCAACCCTGCCACACTTTGCCTAGCATGCCAGGCCTTCATTTGAAATCTTGGTAAAAAGCCTCCATGACCCCTTAACACTAGCATCCTGCATTCTTACAGAACCAGCACCATGTGGATGATGCCAAGGTCGGCCTCCAGCTTGAGCAGTAACCAGGCCCCCTTGCACCATGGTTGCAGTGGCCTCTTAATGTCTGAGCAGCTGACCCATGCAAAACAAATTCCTTGAGAAACAATTTTCTACACATCAGTGTGCCTCCATGTTTTCTTTTTAAACAAGTTTTCACTTTTACACCCTTGAATCTGCCATGGTATGGTCTTGCTGATTCCTGATTCCCTCAATACATCTATCCCATTGTCTCTAGGCAAAGTATTTATCTTTAGTGGTGGTAATCTCTTCATCAACCACACTTTCCTTGGCCTGTTTTACATGTCTTTTTCTGGCCAAACTGCAGATCTTAAAATTTTTTATTCTCTTGTTTTTTGCTTCAAATTATCACAATAAACCTGGCTAAAAATGATAGCAATACCCATGTCACTGCCTGAGTGCTGTTTTGCATTAAAAATTTCCTGTGCCACATTAATTAATCCATCACCTTTAAATTTGGCATCACACAAAGTCTCAGACATGGGGGAAATGTAGACAAGTTATTTGCCAGAAAATAACATTAAAAGCTTCTAGTCCAATTCCCAACTGAGTCCTCATTGCCCTCTGAAACTTCATGTGCACAGTCTTTACTGTCTGTATTCCTATGGGCAGTCGGATCTTTTGGCTCCCACCAGAATCCTGCATTAAGCTCTGCTCACAACATACTAAGGCTTCTCTAGCTTGTGTCTCCAAAATTTTGCAAACTCCTCCCACAAACCAGTTCCAAAGGCTTCTGAACCACATGATCAAATTACTCTCAGCAAGGAACTCATTTCTGAGTGCCAATTCCTGTATTAGCCAGCTTTTCATTGCTAAGAACCTAGAGGATGAAAAATTTATTTTGAGATCACAGCTTGAGAGGTTCAGCCGGTGGTAGGCAACCCCATTGCTCTGAACCTAAGGTGAGGCAGAAGAGCATGGCAGAGGGAACCTGCTCAATTCATGAGCCAGGAAGGAGAGAGAAAGAAAGAGAGAAGAGTATACAAGAAGCCAGGGACAAAATATAACACCCAAAGGCCACCCCAGCAACCTACTTCCTCTAGCCATAACTTACCTGCCTACAGTTACCAAATTACTAGTCCATCAAGTGGCTGAATCCACTGATGAGGTAACAGTTCTCATAATCTAATCATTTCACCTCTGAACATTCTTTCATTAACACATGAGGTTTTTGGGGAACACCTAATATCTAAAACACAGCACTATGTTTCACGGGGACTTACTCTATCTATTTTTAATAGGATTGCTTTCTAGATTTCTTTTTCAGATAGTTCACTATTGGCAAAAACAAATGTTAATAATTTTTCCTGTTGATTTTATATCCTGTAACTTTTCTGAATTTATTATTTCTAACAGGTTTTGTAAGTGTAATTTTTAGGATTTTTCTATATATAAGATTATGTTGTTTGCAAACAGGGAAAGTTTTACTACCTCCTTTGTAATTTGGGTTATCTTTATTTCTTTCTCTTGACTGACTGTTCTGGTTAGGACTTCTAGTACTATGTTGAATAAAAATGATGAAAGTGGACATTCTTATCTTCTTCCAGATATTAGAGGAAAGGCTTTCGATCATTCCCCATTTAGGATGATGTTACCTGTGAGTTTGTCATAAATGACTATTATTGTGTTGAGGTGCATTCCTTCTACTCCTAATTTATTGAGTTTTTATCATAAAAGGAATTTTATCAGATGCTTTTTCTGCATCTGTTGAAATGACCATATGGTTTTTGAATTCTTTCTGTTAACACAATGTATTGCATTTATTGATTTGCCTATGTTGAGCCATTCTCAAGTCCTGGGATTCATCCAAACCACTTGATCATTAAAAAGGATACTCTTTTTTCATGTACTAAATTTAGCTTGCTAGTATTTTGATGAGAATTTTTGCATCCACATTCATCAGGAATGGTGGTTTTCTTGTTTTGTCAGGTCCTTGTCTGGTTTTGGTATCAGGCTGATGATAGAATGAGTTTGGAAGCATTACATGCTCTTCAATTTTTTGGAGTAGTTTGGAAAGAATTGGCATTACTTCTTAAGTGTCTGGTAGAATTCAGCAGTGAAGCCATCAGCTCTTAGGTCTTTCTTTGATGGGAGGCTTTATTACTGATTCAATCTTATTACTCGATATTGGTCTATTTGGATTTCTATTTCTTCGTTAGTCAATCAAGATAGGATGTATGTGTCCATAAATCTATCCATTTATTATAGCTTTTCCAATTAGTTGGCATACAGTTTGCACATTTTCTTTATCCTTTCTGACCTTTTCTCTGCTTTTTATATCAGTAGAGATATAACTTCCCACCATGCCTAGATTTGTCTGGTTCCTTATAGTTCTGTCACTTTGGCTCCATTTTTTTTTTAAATGTCATGTTGTAAGTGCTTATCAACTCAGAATTTGTATCTCTTCTCAGTGAAACTTTTATCCCAGTGAAATATTCTTTCTTTGGCTTAATGTCTATTTTATCTGAAATTAATATAGCTGCACATTTTTCTTTGGATAATTAGTGGCATGCTTTCACTTTAAACCTTTTAGTATCTTTCTAAAACATGTCTTTTATGAACACGCATGACTGTTGGCTTGTAGTTTTTAATTCTGTTCTCACAATTAGTCTGAGGATTACAACATATAGTCCTTTTATTCAATAGAATTAATTAATTAATTAATTAATGGTTTGTTGGGATATAAGTCATTACACTATGCTTTTTAGTCCCACCTTTTTCATGTTATCTTGTCTCTATCTTTTTTTTCCTTCTCTTAAATTTGGAGGTGATTTTTATCATTAGATTTTTTTTCTTCCTGTTAGTTTATAAATGAAATAATAAGAGAAAATTAACTGATAGCTTAGAAACTTCCAAAACATGCTGTAAACTTCTGGCAACTTCTGTAAGATGGGGATGTTGTAAAAAGTTTAAGATTCATCTGTTCTTTACTTGGAACAGGAAGAAACTTAAAATATTGATGAATGTCATTTTCCATTAAGTCAAGATCTTTGTGCTTCCTTTTTTTTAAAAAAAAAAAAATGGTCTCTTTCAAGCCAGGTCACCCTACCTACCAATGAAGGAAAAGAGGGGTGCGGGAATCCGCAGCAGATTGAGTTGTTAACACCCAGAACACTTTCTCTTTTCTTAAACAATAAAATCAACAAAACACCTTTCTGGTTTGCAAGTTCTAACACTTTCAAACACTTGTTTTCATGTTCAGAAGTTGAAGAAGTTGTAAGAGGAACTTCATAGTGTTCTTATTTAAAGAACAACTGTTTAAATGCTCTAAGGTGGTTTTTCAAGAGAGACCCAACTCAAGATACTCTAAGAATCAAAGAATGCAGAGCGGGCATGAAGCACTCCACAGTGCAGAGGCCAGACTCCCTGTTAGGAGGTCTTATAGTTTACATATAAAGTGTCCCCCCAAAAGCTCATATGTGAGGCAATGCAAGAAAGTTTAGAAGTGAAATGATTGGGTTATGAGATCCTTAACCTAATCAGTGCATTGACTTGAATGGATTGACTATAGGCAGATACCTTCTGGCTGAAGGAGGTAGGTCACTGGGGTCGTACCTTGGGGGCTTATGTTTTGTCCCCGATGAGCAGATGCTCTCTCTGCTTCCTGATTGCCATGTCCTGAGCTGTTTTCCTCCTCCACACCCTTCTGCGGGTGATGTTCTGCCACGCTTCTGACGCACAGCAAGGACATCGGCCGGCTAAGAGCCGGCCAATAAACTTTTCCTCCTCTACACTGTTCTTGTCCGTTCTTTTGGTCACAGCGACGAAAACGCTGACTAAAACAGTAAGGGAGGGTCCTGGACCACCCCCTGGAACGAACCTTGGCACCTTGCCCACTTCAGTGCCCTAGTGACTGAAATCCCATCTAAAGTAATCACGATCGCAGACACAAATCCCGGAGAACGCTAGCGGTCACTCGCAATGGCTAGGTGACAGCATTCACGTGCCCCTGGTTACTTTCCCTCTGAGCCACTCCGTCAGCTGCGACGGCAAAACGTAACTTGGATAACTGGCAGAGCCAGGACCACCGTCCACGCTGGCTCCGAGGCTACCCGTGACCACTCCCGGAGGACAGCGTCCTCAGACTCCTCAGTGGCTAGGGATATCTCTGCCTCGCCCGCTTCCCTTTCTGGGTGCCCCTGCTTCTCCCGGGTACCGCCCGCAGCTCGGCCTCCGTTGATGTCGCTGCTGTCCCTATTCAAGCACGAGGCTGCACAGAGACCCAAGCTGCGGGAAGCACAAGCGTCCAGAATCCGCTGCCTCCCCGCCGCAATCTGAGCCTCCCGGCTGGGGGCACAGGTGCGCCGAGTGGGAACCCGGGGTCCCCTCCGCCCCTGCCCGCCGGCCCGGGGAGGAGCGCAGAGAGACCAGACCACGCGGCGGAGCGCGCCGGCGGGAACCGGCTGACCTACCTGGGGTGCCCGCTGAGGGCGGTCGAGCCGCTGCGCCCTCTCGGCCCTGGACTGGGAAGTGACTGAAGGGGAGGTCGGTGCAGCCCGTTGCCCGGCCTTCCCGGACGCAGGAACGCCCACTGTATGTGCGCGCTTCCACGCAGTGGCTTGTGCCAGACCTCGGTCCGCACACCTGGTGGCAGAGACAAACCCCCCACCCCCGCCTGCGCGGCCACCTTTCGCACAAGCTCTATCTGGTGGCTGTAGCCCCGAGGCGGGCCTAGATCGGAGCCCGTGGATCCTGCCTTGTGCCTGCCTTGTGCCAAGCGGGGATCAGAGGAGGGCGCTGGGGACTTGGTAAGGGTTGCAGAGCAGGAAAAAGGGAACCCAGATGCTAGAGGGCCCCGCCTGGGATTTCGCCGAGTACAGAAGCTGATTCCGTCATCAAAGAGAAAGCTGAGTGCCCAACCAGTATTTTATTGAAGGGTTGGGTAACCAAAACCTCAATTCACCCCGAAACGCACTCCTTCAACTCCATTTCTGACTCTTCTCCATTTTTGGAAACCGGAATACAAACTCTGAAGGTGCTTCTCCCCACCCCCACCCCAACCCCGTTCAATTCTTTATTGACCTACCAGTATATCTCCAAGGGTTCACTTTATTGATCTACCAGTGTATTTCCAAGGGTTCACGCTGAAATCTGTGCCCTGCTGCATTAAAATAGTTTACCAACCAACATCAAACCAGCACAGCAACATTTTGCCTGTTGGACTGGAAAAGGACAGCCCCATATTCCCCCCACCCCAATCTGTGACGTTCAAAAATCAGGGAAACAATTAATAGGCATGAATATTAAATTGATAGGACTTCAGTGCCCTGTGAAGTCTGATTTGCCATATAGCTTACTGATTGTAGATATTTATCTCCATCCCTGGCGATTCAGGCCCACCAGCTACCTGAAAGACTTCTTTCTTAAGTCATTATCTCCACCTCTCTTTCATGTGATTTCTTAGGTATTTGTGAAAATGTCTTTCCAATTACTTTTCCCTGAAGCTAGAGACCTGTGTTCTTTATGTATGTTTCCTAAACTGCTTAGACTGATTTTGATAGTATTGCTTTAAACCTGAAGCCAAACAGAATATTCTGGCAAAATCAGAGAGAAATCAATTATTCACCCACAAATTATTAGCAGTGTTATATACAGGGAAGTCAATCCTACACACTCATCAAAGCTGTTAGCACTAACAGGAAGCCCCACATTGAACATTTTCAAAGTTTTATTTTTACATCTATTTGTTCATTTGCGGTTCACAATAACACATGAAATGAAAATAACACATGAAATTCCAGATTTTATTATCCCTTCTGTTCAAGTGATTAAAGAGTTGCCTAGAGTCAAGGGACCCACAGCTAACAACAGGTGGCACATCCCTGGTTAGACTCCAATTCTCCTTACTCCTTTCTGGTCTGCCTTCTTTTCAGTTTGATATAAGACCTCCTACAACTGAAAATACCTTTAAAAAAAAAAAGGTTAGAAAATGAACACAGGCCAGATGTGGTGGCTCATTCCTGTAATCCCAGCGGCTCAGGAGGCAGGGGCAAGAGGATGGTAAGTTCAAAGCCAGCCTCAGCAATTTAGTAAGAGCCTAAGCAACTTAGTGAAACTCTGTCTCAAAATTTTAAAATATAAAAAGACTGGGGTTGTGGCTCGTTAGTTAAGTACCCCCTGAGTTCAATCCCTGGTGAAAGAAAGAGAGAAAGGGAGGAGGAGGAGGGGGAGGAGGAGGGGGAGGGGGAGGGGAGGGGAGGGGGGGGGGGGGGGGAGGAGGAGGAGGAAAAAAAGGAACACATGTGAAAGAGTAGTTCTTGTAGTACACAGGCATGCATTGCTTAACAGCGAGGACACATTCTGAGACATGCATCCTCAGGTGACTCTCTCATTGTGTGAACAATGTAGAGTATCTTATGTTACTGTCTAGGGGTGCTGGGTTCATTGTCTTCATTCAGTAAAGAATTGAAGAACAGAACACAGATAATTGCAAAAGTGACAGTCAGACTTCTCCAAAGAGAAAGGGCTCCCAGAGCTGGGAATCTGGTGGGGAGTTTTAACTTGTTCTTTTCATTGTCTCTAGAATTTCCTCCTTTCCTTACCTCCTTCCCTGTCCACATTGTCCTTTCTATTGGTGCCCCCTTCTGTCCATGTGTCTGTTTTAGTTTTTCTATTGGATCCCCCACTTAGGAGTGCTACAAGCACTACAGGTGTCTGTCTGATTGGGTCCCCCGCTTGTGTCCATGAGTCCTTTCATCAAGCAGGAAATTGACCTCATTAGAAGACTTTCTCCATGCTCCTTTGTTCTGACCCTGCCCCTGACCTCCTCACTCACCATCGTGTCCTGACTTCGAAGGCCCTTCTACAATTCCGTCACTTACACAAGAATATACCATGTGGGGCTGGGGTTGTGGCTCAGTGGTGGAGTGCTCACCTAGCACGTGCGAGGCCCTGGATTCGATCCTCAGCATCAGATAAAAATAAATAAGTAAAATGAAGATATTGTGTCCAACTACAACTAAAAAATAAATATTTTTTTTTAAAAAAGAATATACCATGTGGCTACTACATACCTAGGCTGGACAGTGGTATATGTGGTGCATCATTGACTAAAACATCACCATCATGCAGAGAGTACTCTATAAAGGAAAACCCTACTTTTAATCAAACTGCTTTAATATCTATAAGCTACCTGAAGTAAAAATAGAAAAATTCTAAGTCCACATAGAATCAAGCTATGAAAAATCAGAATATTTCATTTTATAATTTTTTCCCTTTTAAAAGTTAGAATTTTTTTCTCCAACTCAAACTCTTCCAGCTGATCTTTATTTGAAGGTCCCTCCAAGAAGATCATGGTGTTCGTTATCTTCCACAGCCTATAGAAACTTCGCGGAATGATGCTATAGAATGAAGGTTTGTGACCTCCCACACTTCAAAAATGGTTCATGGGTAAAAATGGTAGTGGTGGGATTGGAGGTAGGGTCCTTGGTATCCAAATAGGCCATCAAGACGCCTAAATGGGATCAGCTCCTTTATGGAAGTGACTTCAGAGAATTCCCTTGTCCCTTCCACCATATGAGGACACAGCAAGAAGCAGCTGAGCGAGCCAGAAAGACAGCTCTCTCCAGACACTGCATCTTCTCAACCTCCCGTTTAACCGCGAGAAACCTATTTCTGTTGTGTGATGTTTGTCACCGCAGCCCACGTGAACTAGGACAAATGGCTTCTCAGTGGGCTCCAGCAGGACAAGAATGGCCTGTTCTCATCAAAGAGGCGGAAGTGGGAGAAGTCCAGCTCATACTTGCACCACTCGCTCCTCACGAAGTTCTCCGAAAGCACGAACACGGTTTTGTGGCTCTTCTCGACGCAGTCGATGATGTTGTCCATGATCCACTTGCCAGGGACGAAGTCCCGCTTGTGCAGACACAGCTTGAAGGGCGGCTCCCAGTTCTCCAGCTCCTGCACCAGGAGGTTCTCCACCCAGTGGGAGTCCCTCCCGTACCACACACCGTGGAAGCGGTGGCACAGACCCCCCGTGGGCAGGACCAACAGGAAGAGGGCACAGACCCCCCATGAACAGGATCAACAGGAAGAGGGCACAGCACACGCCACAGCACAGCACTCGGAGGCCCGGTGTCGCGCACGCGCTGGTCGTGCACGTGGGAGGGAGAGTCACACAGGTGGCTGTCTGGCCAGTCCACCAGCACCTGGGCCAGAGCTGACTGGCGCTGAGTGAACGACAGGAATTCATAGGAGCAGTTAAAGTTGTTGCCACCAGCCTCCAGAGTCTTCAGGCTGTGAAACGGATTCAGTTGCTCCTTAGAGAAAGTTTTATTTTGCTACTTGATTTTTTTTTTTTTTTTGTACCAGGATTGAACCCAGGGGTGCTTAACCACTGGGCCACATCCCCAGCCCCTCCCTCATTTAAAAATTTTGAGACAGGGTCTCTGGAAATCGCTGAGACAGGTCTGGAACTTGGGATCCGCCTGCCTCAGCCTCCCAAGCCACTGGGATTACAGGTGCGTGCCATCATGCCTGGCAAATTTCCTGCTTACTCTTAAGGAGGAAAAAAGCATCTGAGAGGGTCTTTAAACATATCTGAAAACGTAAAGTTTTTAAAATTCTGGCTAAAAATGCACATGATATTGCTGACATCTGATAAGCATGGAGTCTGGGAAACACTGGGTTATTGTGTATTTTTCTGTTGGTTAAATTCCACTCTTTCTGGCCACTGTCAAGTGGTAAAGAAACAAGTGTATACTGCCCAAAATCAGTGTTAGGTTTTCTAAAGTAAGAAGTGTTTTTCAAAGCTTGTATGTGATTTTGTATTAAATTTGAGATATATAATAAGCACCAGGCATCCTTGTGAAATGAATGCTTCAATCTTTTTCTAGCCATCAAATTTCCACTGAGATCCAAGTAGCCTGATGATTTTTAAATATCATGACGGAAGATACACTATTAAGGAGGTCTGGGAACTTTCAGCTGTGAATCTCTTCAGTTAATGGAAAAGCAGAAGCATTCCTTTCAAGTTGTCATCATGGAAAATTCCAGTAGCTAAGCTGTTTTTATTACAGTCTCTGTTGGGGCCTGGTCTGATTTCAGCTGTCCCCTTGTGTTGTGTTTCCTTAAGTACCCGAATCTCAGAGTAAAAATGACTGTTTCATATGTCAGCCCAAATGACTGATCTACATTTATCTCAGGCTTCTTGGTTCATATCTCAGAATTAGAAATGTCAATCTTAATTCAGAAGAGAAAGCCTATAAAATCCTATTCATTTTGTTGCTGTTGTCATGTTTTGTTTTCTGAGGATTGAATTTAGAGTTTTGTGCACACTAAGTTCACATTCTATTACTGAGTTACACCCCAGCTCTAATGTTTGATTGATTTTTGTTATGGTGTGGATGTGAGATGTCCCCCAGAGCTCCTAGGTTAGAGCAGGAATAGTCAGAGATGGAATGATTGGATTATGAGAGCTGTAGCCTAATCCTTCCACCCTAGTTTGAATGGACTAAGTAGTAACTGTGGTCAGGTGAGGCATGGCTCGAGGAGGTGGGTTACTGGGTATGTGCTATGGAAGGGCTCACCTTCCCTGCAGCTCAACGCATTCCCCTTTCTTTGCTTGCCAACCTCCATGGATGGAGCAACTTTCCCCCACCAAAGCCTTCCTCCATGATATTCTGCCTCACATTGGCCCAGAGCAATGGAGTTGGCTGACCATGGACTGAAACTCTGAAACCATGAACCAAAATAAACTTTTCCTTCTTAAGTTGTTCTGGTAAGGCATTTCAGTCACAGCAACAAAAACCTAACTGAACAGTTTGGGGGTTTTTTGTGGTGGAGTGTTATTGTAAGAGACTTATA